GATAATATGGTACTTTTAAACAAAAAAAAAGAATTCATTTATGTCCATAGTAAGGTCTTTTTTACTTCATTCAATTATTACTATTATTGTATTTTTATTGAAAATGGCATAATAAACAAAATATCAGTGATAATTTTCATTTAATGCATAATTGTTTAAAAGTACCATATTTTCCCTTCATTTCCTCAAAAAATTAGAAATGTTCATTAATTTAAGTTTAATATTTTTTAAAAACAAATGAGGGGGCGGCACGATTAAAATTTCGATATCGGCCAAATAAGAACCACCCTACTATAGTATATGTATATGTATATAAATGCTGTGATAAATAATGTAGGTATATTATTTCTTAAAAGTATTTTAAAACAAAAATGTATATTGATAATTTAACTTATTTTTGTTGTTTTTTTTTACGAAAATATGTATGTAAATATTTGTTAAAAAAAACTTTTTTTTTAAATGTAAAGGGTGTTTTCTTATAAATGGGACACTCCTATGAAATCTTTATTAGAATATCGAAAAAATTTAAAATCCAGATGCATTGTTTAAAAAAGTAATTTTTTTGACAAAAATTCAAAAACAAAAAAGCATCGGTAAATTTAATAAAATAGCATCGGCATTGTTTTTTTAATGAAACACCCTGTATATTTTTGAAAAACAATTCAATTGGGCTACCACTAGATCAATTCTAAATTAAAAAGAAATTTTGTAAAATTTTGAAGTTAATTGATCAGAAGAAACACGTGTCCCTGAGGGTTTTTTTTTAAGATAGGTAATTTATGAAATTGTGTTATTTTTGCAGATTTTTTTTAATTCAAACATATACCTACAAATTATATATATGTGTATTTGAAATTATAATAAAAAACTCTATCTAAATGTTCAAAAATATACAGGGTGTTTCATTGGAAAAATCAATGTTATATCTACATATGTATTTCATCAATTTTACCGATGTTTTTTTGTTTTTTAATTTTTGTCAAAAATTTTTCATAAAATTATTTTTTCAAACAATGCAAGCTAGATTTTTTAATTTTTTAATTTATTTTCAAATAAAGATTTTAAAGAAGTGTCCCATTTATACGAAAACACCCTGTACATAAATATATTTTTAATGTCAATTAAAATATCAAATACCAATTAAATACATCAATTTTACCAATGCTTTTTTGTTTTTTAATTTTTGTCAAAAAATTTTCATAAAATCACTTTTTTGACCATGCAGCTGAATTTTTTATTTTTTTAATATAATATTTTTAATTTAATATATGTGATACAATATAATAATATTTTCAAATAAAGATTTTAGAGGAGTGTCCCATTTATACGAAAACACACTGTACATACATAGATTTATTTTTAATGGCAATTAAAATAACAAAAATTATCAATATTAAAAATATCAAATACCAATTAAATACATCAATTTTATCAATGCTTTCTTGTTTTTTAATTTTTATCAGAAAAATTACTTTTTAAACCATGCAAGCTGGATTTTTAAATTTCTCCTTGAATAAAGTTTTTATACGAAAACACCCTGGACATACATAATATTATATTTATACATACCACAATTAAAATATCAAATAGGGTACCACTTACATACATAATATGTATGTAAGTGGTACCCTATTTGATATTTTAATTGTGGTATAAATGTATAAATATAATATTATGTAGGTATGTCCAGGGTGTTTTCGTATAAAAACTTTATTGAAAGAGAAATTTAAAAATCCAGCTTGCATGGTTTAAAAAGTAATTTTTTTGATAAAAATTATTATTATTATTACTAATAATAATTATTAATTAACTATCTACCAACTTTATCTAATTAATATTTATAATAATTAATAATAATAATTATTAATTAATTATCTACCCAATTATTATTTAATTATCATTTAAAAGTAAAATTCTATTTTAAAAAAATATGCCTCTATGTATACATACATATATATAATGTATACATTTTTAATTAAAAATAAATAAATTTCACACGTTTCAGAGGCATATTTTTTTTAAATAGAATTTTACTTTTAAATGATAATTAAATAATAATTGGGTAGATAATTAATTAATAATTATAATTATTAATTATTATAAATAATAATTAGATAAAGTGGGTAGATAGTTAATTAATAATTATTATTAGTAATAATAATTATATAATGAAATAGAATAGAAATTACCTCTCAGAACAGCACTAGGAATTGTAAATAAATAAATAAATTCTTTTGGTTACTTACTTTACTCAATAATGAAATAACAAACTCCACTAAATCCAGACACAAATAATATTATGACTGCAAATAAAAAATTGTGTTGTCGTCTCGTTGCTAAGCGACGAGTTTAGTGAAAGGAGGGGTAAGAAGCTTGCGTGGGAGATCGGAATTTCAAACAAATACCCCTTATTTTATCATATTTTCAAGCTTGGAACATTGGTGGGTAGATGGCGACACCTTACGGACACATTTTCTTGTAAATTAATAATAATACGCCTGGCACAGATCATCCTACCACCTTGCGTCTCTTCACACACTTTACTCAATGGTGCCATGTAAAACAAATGGGCTGATGGATTGGCCAAATTTTGGGGATCATAAGGAGACAGGTGAAATAGGCCCTAAATGATTAGGCTGATAAAAAGGCAAATGACAGCTGGAGGAGTGATGGCAAGCACTTCTTTAGTTATATGTAGTTTTCTGTTCTATTTTATGTTTTCATAAAAATAAATATTTAAATTAAAGAATAATAATTTTGAAACCCAATGTTATTTATTGAAAAGTAAATATCCATTGATTCACCATATCCAATACAGATGACAACCATATTGCATACAATACTATATCCACTGGGTATCCATTGGATATCCACACTATGTCCAGGAGGGTCGGACATTTATATATCCAATGGTTATCCATTGGATATCCATACAATCTCCATATTGAATACAGATTACAACCTTATTGCATACAATACTATATCCACTGGGTATCCATTGGATATCCACACTATGTCCAGGAGGGTCGGACATTTATATATCCAATGGTTATCCATTGGATATCCCGGATATCCTATGTATATCCTGGATATCCATAAAAGAAATCCATTGGATATCCATTGGATGTAATTGTTCCGTGTGGGTTTGTCATATAAATGTGGGTGTATGATTAAGAAATAGTTAAATTTTGTAAGAATAAATAGGTATTAATTAAAAAAAAAACTAATAACAGCTGTTATACATTATAATTAACACCAAAATTTAAGTATATTTAACTAATATTTTTAATATATTTCTTAACAAACACAAGCTTTAGCTTAACAACTTTATAAAAATTAAACATTTGCCCATGCCTAGATAAAAATAATAATATATTATGTATCAAGTTTGATAAACGATATTTTATACACGAATTTAATTTAATCTACTTATTATTATCTTAAAATGATTTAAATAAAAAATTTGTAAAGAGCGCCATCTATGAAACAATAGGGGAATCTGTGTGTCACCGTCAAATGTCACATTTTTAAATTTTATAAAGGTTATAAATTGAAATGTATTTCTTGAAAAATTTACAGATTTTACAGTGAAAGTAAAGAAAATGTCTTATGAGGACTTTACAGTGGAGTCCGTGCCCGAATTTAAGTTATAGTTCAGCCGTCGAAATTCAAAGGTCAGTACAATGTTCATATAAACTTTTCAAATATTGGCGATGAGAAACTATTTAATACTTTTGTATTTTTTTTATTGAGATAATAAAATAATTTTCACATTTAGTATTATTTTACAAGAAAGGCACTTTATTTTAACGATTGTATGACATTTGACAACTGTCAACTAACTTAAAACTAACTTCAGCCCGTGACTAAAAACCTGTTGCAAACTTCAGCCCGTGACTAAAGCGCCATAAAGCCACAACTTGTCAATGTGTATTTAAAAGGCCACTTAGTGTCATGGAAACATGTAGGTACGATAAAGGGCGTTTTAAAGGTGGGAGTAGAAAAAATAATAATACGTATTATATTAAATAATTAATATCAAGTACTGTGATTGGTTTGACATGAGACCTTTACGGTGAAAGATAAAACTTGAACATTTATCCCGTACGGGAATCTATAAACAGCACTACGGTTTTCGTATTACGGGAGGAAGGAAGGAAGGCAATCTATAAATCAGGCTTAACTCGGGTCAGTATGTAGTTTGTATGACATTTGACAACTGTCAACTAACTTCAGCCCGTGACTAAAACGCCATAAAGCCACAACTTGTCAATGTGTTTTTAAAAGGTACAATAATGGGCGTTTTAAAGGTGGGAGTAGAAAAAACTATCAGCAATCTTGACGACTGGAATTCTTTTTAAATGTAAGACATGGTCAACTTTATAAGGTAGTATATCCATTTGAAGAATTTGATAAATAAATAACCATAAACATAATACTATTATTTGAAATTTATTTCTATGTAGTAGACTGTAAAAGCAAATTCGGAGGTGCCAATTTAGTAAAAAAAGAAACGTTTTATTTTAATTAACAAATTACCACTTTATTACAAATTAGGTATCATTAAAAACTAAAAACAACATACAAATTAAATAAGTAACAATATAAATTGTTAGTTTGTTATTATAATGGCAAAATTAAGGTTTAAAACTGTCACATTTTTGTGTTTGTTAAGTTGGCAGCACCAAATTTTAAACGTCAATTTTAAAAATTGCTAAAAAATATTTTTTTGTGATTTTCATTAAAAATAAACCTTAATAATCAATTTGTGAATTTCTAATGACATAATAATTGATTAATAAATTAAATATTGTGTATTTTGTATATGAAAACAAATGTACCAACCTTAAAAATCCTTTTATTGGAAACTGCTGTTGTGAATTATTTGTGAATGTGATACCTTACAAAATCATATATTAAATTTTGAAGATATTCTATGGAAACTCTTCAAATGGAGATACAACCCTAATAAACAAAAAAATAGCGAACATTGTACTTACTTGGCACTCTACATAAGCAATAAGACAGTCTTTCGATACATTTGCAACAGTATCCGGACAAACAGGCCCTTCCAAAACTAAAACCTCATGCCCGTCGTGTTTATAGCCCATAGCTTCAAACATTATTTCCGCCCCGTCCAAATTCGCCTGGATCTGATGTTTGTAAAAGCCAGAATAAGTCTTGAAAGAAAAAAATTGTTAGGTTAGGTTATTTTATTTGACATTTATCTCACAACTGTCAGACTGTTTATAACCTCAATTTTTTTTAGTCTGACACCTGTCAAACGGTTTTAACCTCAAAAAATTGAATCGCACCTTTATTTGTCTATATTCTTTCCTCCAGGGTTGTGACAGTAGGTTTCCAGCATACATTTGTATTGCATTCCAACCGTTTGCGGCTTTATAGCCGCTGAAATCTTTTTTGTGACTTGCAGACCTCTCGAGTATCTCTGCCGTTTGAGGGTATACAAATTTTTGGGTGTGGGAGGCATTACAAAGATAATCCTTAATGCAGTCTAAAAATATAAAAAAATATAATAAAAGTCTTGTAGAGAATAAAGGAAGTACCTTCTAATTTAATTCGTTGCTCTAATTTTTCAGGACTTTCTTCCATTTCCAAATAAATCAGATGATATTTGTTTATGTTATTCCATATCTCGTGTAGGTGGTTTGGGGCATAGTAGCTGTCCATGATTACCATATTATTTTGTTGTGGTATAAGTCTATTAAAAAAGTCGGGACCAAACTGGTTGCTAAAATCGTAATACATTTTATTGTTTAATAAAAATAACTCACTACAGCGAACAACAATAAAATGCAATAAAATAACCTATAAAACTATTTTAGCCTTAAAATATCTAGTTTAGGTCTATTTATAGAGTTTGGCAAAGCAAATTTTATAATTACCAGTCTTAATATATCTAATAGCTGCATATATAAAAGTATTTTGACAGATAAGTAACCTAAATTAAATTGACATTTTTTTGCTGCTCGTCATATTTTAAATCCTTGACGAAAGACGGCCCACACGAAAATTAGATTAGGCGACAAAACTTTTCGCGTGGGAAAATATCGCTTATTTACTTCCGAATTATACGAAATTCCTAAAATAACTTCGAGCGAAACGTCATGATAACAACACTGTAAGAGCGGGAAATTCAAATTTATCAGCGTGGATTTATTTATATTTATGGCAGCGTTTATCGCAGTGTGCTCTGTTCAGATTTTGCGGCAACGTTGCAAATTTTGGGTTTTGGTTGGTAAATACAGTTGTCAAGTTGGTCGCATTGATTAAAACAAACTAAGCTAGTTATAAATGTAATTGTCTCTGGTAATTGTGGTTATGTATAAATTATTGTAGGTTACATTGTGCAGTTGTCAAGTTGAGTTGTCGAAATTCGTAGTTAAAAATGTAATTAATTTGGCTTTGGTGGTGCTTGGATGAGTAAAATCATATAAAAAAGTAGTTAAATATAGGTTGCTTTACGGCCCAGAAGAGAAAGTATTCCTAGCGGATAATAATCTTCGCTTTGAAAAGAATTTATATAAAAGAAATTAAATTTTGTGAACGTAAATGTTGTCCAATGGTGAATAATGTGAAAATAATGTGTGATGTAATATTTATAAAACCAAATTCTTTACTTTTTTACTCCAAAAATGTCCATAAGGCGATGTACTTTTTCTTCCATTGTGGCATTTGGCATAATTTCATCAAAATAAAGTTTTGCCCTCAAAAGGGCTTTTACATTCGAATTCGTTGCTATGATTTTTGGCATAATTATCTTTTTATTTATAATTGGCAAGTAAATTATCAATAATAAATGTTATTGTCAATTTGACAGTGTCAAAGTATTTAATTAAATTCTTTAGCAGAAGTACCATTTTTAAATACTAAAAATACCAAGTCAAACTGGTATAAGCCACCAACCTAACAAAAAAACACGAGTCCAGATAAAAAAAATTAACTGTAACCCATTACAGAGACGCCCAATAAAACCCATGAAAATGTCAAAACACTTGTAATCCTGTCACATGTATTAAAAATTTTCAGTTAATTTCACAAATTTTGGTAAATTTATTGTAATATATATGCTGCAAGATGGTTGCTGGAAAAGGACCCCCGGCTTTTGGGCCCCCGCAAGCTCCAGAATACATGGGGGCAGCCCCTTACACTAAAAGTTTAACTTCCAGATACGATTACCATCAGAGTTACAGAAATGAAAAATTATCAAGGATTATAGTAAAAAATTAACAATAAATACAATTATTTTTTCACGCAATATTATTTTTAGACACCCAGATACGAATGGGGGATGCTGGATATAAGATACACGGCTCCATCTGGTGCTATTTCAAATGACAAGTTCTTGAAAATGCCCATGCCTGAATTCAGCATGTTGGATAAAGGAAGAGCTCAAGAAGTTGATAACTTATATATCGTAAATTACCACAACAAATCAATTATAAAACCGTTATAAGTCTTTTGCAGGCTTGCCAAAATCACAGGGATCAATACAAAGATCATTCGAGAACTCTTCAACCTATGGATTATTTTAAACCACCGACATATTTGTATCAATGCCCGACCGATCCAACCAGGTAAAACTAGTTTTAATTTATTCCTCCAGAAGTACATAATAAAGTTTGTTTTCAGCACTTACCTTAAATACCCCGACATACACGTAGAATACAAAAAACCAGCAGTGTTTCCATTAACTTTGGAAAGATCATATAGGAGTCCATTGTACCCAGATAGGGCATTAACAGGCATATACAACCCTACGAGCGATATAAGTTATAAAAGATAAATAAAACAGCTTTTAAAAAGTAATAACATATTTATTTCATATCAAGATAAAAAGATCTTAATGTTGTACGACGTCTCGAGAATAAAAAAAAATCACAATTATGTTCCAGGTTCAACCCTTTTCCCATTAAATTTTAAGATCAGATAAATTTTGGTTACGAGTATCAAATTTAAATAAATATTAAAATAAAACAAGTAGTTTAATTTATGTTACTATGTTGGCACAACTGAAGTGAAGCGAAATGTCAAAATTAAATATTTAATGTCACTCAAAATAAAACGTCAAATTTTGTTTTGTCTATTTGGATGCTTCTAGACGCAGTTTACATATACTTCCAATGCTTTTAAACACATTTTATAATATAACTTTGATAAACAAAACCGGAAAGGCGAGTTTTTGACACATCGTCGACATGAAAATTAAAAGGGTTGCCAACAGTCTGAAATAAAAAAACCCTAATTTCGAACCGATCAAACCTAATAATACGACAATTATTGTATTATACAACTAACTTAAAATTAAAATCTAAACGTAAAAGAGCTGGCGAATTCTGCCATTTTTCCAACAGCGTGTTGAAATTCTATTTGTCCTACAGATCCGCTTGCTTCCATATCCATGTTTCTCAACAACTAAAATGAATAGGTATTTTTAGTCCTTGTGTTTTTATTTTATTTAAAACTTACAATTTCAATGATGTGTTCTTTTTGTTCTGTTTGAATTTCACCTGCTCGTGAAGTGACTCTATCAATGACCTGTTTTAAGTCATCTTTTCCAAGAGCATTATCCCCATCAAAATCTAAAGATAACAGATAATTAATGGTTCTATTATTATTTATATTTGTTACCAGTGTTGCCAATTGATTTTAAGTAAAACATTATAAAAGTCGTTAAACAGACTTGGCAACACTGTTTGTTACTGCTTACCGAAAATTCTAAATGCCCAAGCCGCTTTTACACTGTCGGGACATTTTTCGGACATCACGGAACATAAGTCTAACAAATCCTCAAACGAAAATTTGTAATCTCCTTCTGACGAAAACACCTCGTAGATTCTGTCTCTGAAAGGATTTACCTAAAATGCAATGTTTCAAATTTTAATAATCTAGCTTCTGTAACCCTTTTTTGTTCTCAAAAAAATGTTCATAACGTAATGAACATTTTTTTAGAATTAAAAAGGGTTACAGAAGCTTAGCTGTAGGTACCTGTAATTGCGGGAACTTTTTTTCTAATTTTTCCACGGAAACTTTTCCATTTGCACCCCCTTCTATTTGGTTAAAGAGCTTGTATAAACTAAAAAAAAACTTAATATTAGGTACTGACAATCTAATATTAAATATTTAGCATTACTTATAAAATTGTGTTTGAAAAATATCTTTCTCATACCTATTTGATTTTAAAAATTAAAGTAAAAAAATATACATATAAATATGGACAGAAGAGTAACATAGGCAACCTTTTTTCTTTTTTTTTCAAAATTTCCCAGATTCCAGGAAATTGTTGCAACGTTGCCAACTTTCACAATTTGCAAAATCTTCAGGATACCTTTGTTAAGTCATCTTGCATTATTTAACGTTGTTGCCAAATTTCCAAAAAATCCCAAAATTGTCTTTTTAAATTTTTATTCCAAAAATTCCCAGAACCTAGGAATTTCTTGCGACGTTGCCAAATTTCCAAAAATTGACAGAATCTGGGATTTTCGTTTTTTGTATTTGCGGTGTTGCCACGTTTCCATAAAATCCCAGAATTTGGGTATTTTTCAATATTTAATAATGTTGCCAAATTTACAAAAATCTTAAGGATAACTTGCGCTATTTTGCTGTTTGAAAAATTTATATTTAGGTTTTTCTCGTTTTTTTAATCCTTTATTAATTTCAAAAATTAATTAATAAGTTACAATTTATATACATATGTATGTATAATTTAATACTTTAAAATCCCAGAATCATCATTTTTCAAAATCTTTAATTTAGCGATGTTGCCAAATTTATGTTTACTTTTTTGTTGTTCTGTCTTTTATTTTTATTCCAAAAATTTCCTGAACTTAGGAATTTCGTGCGACGTTGCCAAATTTCTATAAAATTGCCAGAAGATGGTATTTTTATTTTTTACTTACCAAATAAAATTAAGGAAATTTTAATTCAAAATTCCTTTTATTTATTAAAAGAATTTTTAAACTTAAATTTTAATACCACCTAGTTATTATGTATTATTATTTTCGTTTTTTGTATTTGCGATGTTGCCAAATTTCTGTAAAATCCCAGAAGTCAAGAATTTTTTAAAATCTTCAGTCATCAAAAATTCCAAGAACCTGGAATTTTTGTTTTTTGCGGTGTTGTCAAATTTCAAAAAAATCCCAGAACTTGTGAATTTTGACAAAATTATACCTTCTTGCGCTATTTCAGATTTTTGATAAATTTCCAAAAATAACTTTACAACTATAACTTGCAGTATTTGGCGGTTTGCCAAATTTATATTGAGTTTTTTTGTTTGTTTTGCTTTATACTTTTTTAATTTCAAATATTAATTAAAAATAGGTTCTTAAAGCCTTCAATAAATTTGATTTCGCTCTATGCTACTACAGCTACATACCTTAAAATCTCTGATTTTGTTAAATAGGTGAGAACATTATATTCCTCCAATAAATCGGTAGTTATAGTACTGCTAGAATTTCCCATGGTATCCAAATACAAAACAAACCTGAAACACTGCCCACGCCACAATATTCACACGATAAAAACCTATTTAAGACAATGCATGGTACTTATCATGATAACGAATTTTATCTTTTATTTCGATATTTGTTGTTTGTTATAATTTGTGTCAGTAAAACACAAATATGTAAAATGTGGAATCAATTTATTAAATATTAAAAACACATTTACAGAACCTGATTTAAATGTTCTTTGGTGCAGTGGTGGAGTACCAGTCTAAAACCGTTAAATCTGACCAAACGTATTTCCCTTTAAAGTCGGCTTCCAAAGCGGCAAAAAGGGGGGCTCGAGCCCCCTCAGCGGTGGTGAGGGGCCCGTGGTGGCCATTTATATCCGTATCCACATATCCAGGGTGTACTGCGTTGACAGCTATGTTTCTATTTGGGGATTCCCCATCGAATATTCTTTGTTGTATGAACGTTAGAGCTGTTACAGCCACCTTGGAAAAGACATACGAACTACTACCCCAGCCTTCTTCAACATTTTTGTTTTCCTGAGCATACCTAAAAAAATATTTCATAAAATTACCGTAGATGTGTGTTATGTAGAATCTTACTGGATAAATTTATTAGCAATATTGTTGAGCCCTTCAATCGTTAGGGTTGCATCACCAATTTCCTTTCTCCTTCTCTCAGTAGGAATCCTAGCTAAGTGGCCAGCTGAGCTGGATATGTTTACCACTCGGGAATTATCCCTCAAAAGTGGAAACAGAGCTTCGCACAATTTAAGGGTGCCAAAATAGTTGACTTTCAATGTATTCTCCGCCTGTTCACCAAAGGATTCCGTAGCAGTTTTCTAGAGATTTAAATTATAGAGAATGGAAAAAAACACAATTCTTCTAAAGTCTAAAACCTATCCTCCGTGACTGTTACCCTTTCTAGGTTAACCTATATGTTTTCAAATATCTGAGCTAGCAAAAGCATACTAAAAATATCAGTTCACCAAGTAAATGTGGGTGTTACAAAAATTGATTCTATCCTCCGTGAATCTGTTTTATCTTTAAATTTTATGCAACGGATGGCGCTTTAATCATTTTAAATAAGCAAAAACCTCTGTTTACGACATTATAGATGCATGTGATTCCTGAAGGTCAGTTAGAATTTATATGCAGATGAGAGTGTTGCTGTTTTATACTTCAAAAGTTTAAGTTCATTAATTTGCTATTTTTAAACCTATCCACCGTGAAGTGTAATATCTCAGTAAGTAGATTTTTTTTAGAAATATTTTTTGTATATTTTAAAAAAATATTAAGGTGTCAAACTTATTTCAAATATACAAAGGGATGTTTAAAAAAAAACATTCGAAATCCTAACCTCCGTGAAGCTCTAATATTCAAAATGTACGATTATTATTATTATTATTATTATTACTAGACCTGATGGCTTCCCAAAATCCCCATTCTAGACTAACAGTGAAACAACCAAAAATAAAAAATAATCATTTTTACTTAAGGGATATCTCAATATACTCACCCATAATGGTTCGAGGTCTATAAACTTACCAAATAACAAATAGCAGCATTATTCACCAATAGATCCAAACCACCATGGGCACTTTTAATATGCTCTTTTAAAGCATCAATGCTGCTTTGATCCGTGATATCCAATTGGTGAAACTTTGGATCCAGACCTTCAGCTTTCAGTTTTTTTACTGCTTCGAGCCCTTTGGTGGTGTTCCTAGCAGTCAAGTATACCACTCCTTTAAATTTTGTGCAAAGGCCTTTGACAACCTCATAGCCTATACCTTTATTGGCACCTGTAACCTTCTCGATTTTTTTATATTTTATGTTATTTAAAAAGATTTCAACGAAACTTACAACTGCAACTTTCTCTGTAGTCATTTTTATGGTATTAATCGTTATGCAGGTTTGGGTATCTTTTATATATATATATACTCGCCAAATCAGTGTTTTTGTTATTTTAATTGTTAGACCACATAAACCGCGATACAATAGTATTATTATTTAAAATAAAAAGAAAAATAATTTTGTATTTTTTATTTACATTAATCAATATAATACCTATTTAAATAATGAATATTAGGCATGTAAGCCATACGTATGGATTTATTAAAAAAAGAAAAAGTTCTGAAAATAAAATTGTAATAAAACATTTTTTGTTATTTTTAACTTACGTCTTCATCCTCTTCCTTCGAACATTTGACAATTTCAAATGCTTTTTCGCATAAATCGTCGTTATCTTGAAATAAGAAAAAATATTTTATTATAATTTTAATATACCTAGGTATAAGTTTTCATTTTATATTACCGGCTTTAGCACTACACTTGGTAAAAGATTCTCTGTGCGCTTCCTTTAAAGATTCTGGTAATAATTCTACAAATGCTTCAGTGTTTGTTTCTCCTTTTTCATCCATCTAAAAGTGTTGTTTGTATAGCACAATTTAAAATTTAAAATGTTTATTATATTTACCACTCCACCTTCTACCATAACACACTTCATATAGCACTAAAAATAATTTTGTCAGTTATACATTACAACATTACTACAGCCCATGACTATACCTTTAATTTGTCATCTTCACTTAAATTCCCATCTATAACTTTGTTTACAATTTCTAAAAAAATATTTTTATTAGTGTATTATGTACTCTCTAAAATTGAATTAGTCAAAAATTACTAGTTCTTGAAAATGGACTAACAACCGTTTAAATCTGATATAGAAGCAGTTTTTCACAGTTAAAGTGAAGAGAATGTTTTATGGGCACTTATTTTTCATACCTTCGTCAACTCCAACTTCTTTGATACAAGTTTCATGCAATGTTTTTACCATATCTTGTGTCTCATGGGAAAACATCTGTTAAATAACAAAATCACTTAAAAGTTCAAAAAAAAAATGTCATACTTACGGATATGTCCACTTTAGCGTAAACGCCAAGAGAACAAATACACAACAAATAAAAAGAATACTTCAGTGTCATTTTTTTAACAAGTGAACACTGATTTTCTCGCACAGATATTTATTAATTTTTTTCCGCAATTAAGTAATTATGTTCATTATCTCTTGCAATTATTTGTGGATTAATTATGTTAATTTGTTAAAATAATTGATCACATGCAAGGATTAAATTATGCATGATATGGCGCAAATTTTAGAGAAAAATAACACTGCCCAACGTATACCTCATTAGTTAAAATGACAATATTTTTTCAGCCTAAAATGCTAAATAATATATTCGACAAATACTTAATATTATGTAAAAAATGATTTAAATTAAATATTTGTATAAAGCCACATCTATACGAATGACCCTGTATACAATTATAACTATCTCAGTCGGTAATAATATAGAACTACTTTATTTTGGGTTATATGTAAAATTGATTATATTTCGAAAACTGTTCTACTTTTATAACTTTTGACGACATTTTCGGATTCAGTGAATAATATTTCATAGGAATTGACTGCTAAATGTCCTGTTGACGAGAATTATTAGTGGCTCCTTTTTTGCTATGACATTTTTGACTAATTAATTTTTAGAGAGTAAGTAATATAGTGATTTCTTCGTCACAGGACATCTTGCAGAATAACAGTGCATATAGAGAACATAAAAAACTAATGGCAACATAAATTAATAAATTCGGAAAATACTTTTAACATAGGTACCACCCGAAAAAATATTACTTACATATGTTCCGGCCTAAACACTAAAAATGCTTCACACATTAATGATATTTGCAACCAACTATTTCAGAAGTCAGACCAAGGAATTAGTAGTTACCTTCAGAATTCAGAAAAGGGATGAGGAATCCGAGAAAGAAATATATGAATTATATGATATTTACAAAAACGAAATAAAAAAAAATACCTAAAACAGCAATTAATCTTTAAAAAATATTTAACAATTTATGTTATTTGAAATAAAGTTGTTTTGTTTATATAAAAATTGTATGTCCAATAACTATGGTCCATGTGTCCAATTACTATATAAAATGTCCAATTACTATACTTTTTTGCATGTTTTTATAAAACTATTATTAAAAATTCAAATATTCTTATTTTTGTTAATTGACAGGAAAACGACTAAAAATCCTAGATGTATACATTTTATTTTATTTTATTTTAATTTAGAGTAGATTACAAAAATAATAAATATTACTTAATAACAAAACATAAATATACTAACTCAAACAATTTGCGTTTCTTGCACACAATCAAATAAAACCCATTCACACATCACACAAAAGTTCGTTATAGCTGCTGTATCAATATTTACACTACGACTAAGATGTATCACTGTTACGATCTTGTTTTTCTGTTCAGCGACTTGACGCATCTGCCTTTATAGCAAATTTCAGTTTCGTGGGATACTTCAGTGGAGGTTGAAGTTTTAACAGCCTTCATTTCCCAAGGATCAACGTCAAAAGTGGTTTTAGCTTCGATTTTTGGCGTGGTTTCCCAACTTTCCACAGTGTTTGGCAAAATGGTCGTAGACTCCTCCACTGCTTCAGTAGATGTGGTATTGAGTGTTGTTGTCGCTGGTTCTTCAGTTATTTCTTGAGGAAAATTTGGAATAATCGTTGTGGTGGTAACATCATCTGGAACTTCCGTGTTAACCTCAGTGGTGGTTGTTTTACCGTCTATTTGTAAATCGAACATGTCGTATAGAGTATCAAAAAGACTTCCTTCTGTAGGTGCAGCTGTAGTTGTTATGGGCTCCTCACTAACAATTTTGTTTATGGTGTATTCAGTCGTAACAATTTCCTCTGAATCTTCAGAACTTTGTTCAGTAGTGCTGCGCTGCCTCTGTATTGGTTGATATTCGATATTTTTCTTGTTCACTCTCTCTATAGTGTTCAAAACAGATTTGTAATTTTGCGATTCGGCCGTCTGGAACTGGTCTAGAGGTTTGTGTCGAACCAATTTCCAAACTCCACGTCTACGACCCTTCTTTTTCATCGGTTTAACTTCAACCACTTGTGTTGTGGTTTCCAGGCTAGCCTCCTTCACCATCTGATTAATTTCTGTGAGGAAATCGGACATGTCTTTGTTTGATTCGTTGATTTCATCGGTGGTTACTGGTTGTTCGTCTGTGGAGGTCTCAGTGTTTACCATTGGTAAAGCTACTGGTTCTTCAGTGGGCTTATCGTCTGAAGGAAGCCCATTCAATATAGGTACAGCAGAAGCCTCAACCCAGTCGCTATCAGGCTTGACGTAATTGTGACTGTAGATGGATGAGTGTGGTGATTGGTCTTCCATGTCTTCTTGTAGAGGATCAATGGTTATTTGGAAGGGTTCTTCAGTTAATGATGGTTTGTTGGAAAAGAAGGAGGCTGGGTAATTACCGCCTTCAACCTCGGCATCATCTTTTGGTGATGTAAGAGTTTCCGGCAGTCTATAGTGAGTGTTACCTCTGCTTCTAGTTCTACCTCGTTTGGTGGTATACGAGTTAACTTCGTTATCATTGCTTTGCACTGTAACCCTACTTGTAAATCGTTCTGTGGTCATAGGGTCTTGTTCAGCAGTCGCTATAGATAACTTACTTTCCTCATACTGAGCTTGGGGGTAATACTTGGGTCTAATTTCCCCAATAAAGTGTACAGGGCTTGATAATTCAGATCTTTCCGTGGAATAACCTTTAGCAACGAACTCCTCGTTATATACCGTTTTCGGTTGAGGGGAACTTAGATACGAGGAGGAGTACTGTATTGGTGCGTTCGTACTTTGAAATTCGATTATAGGCTGTTGTTCTTCTACTTTAGGTTTGTTGAAGTCAGGTTGTCTGAAGAATCCATAAAATTCTTCTTGGCCTTGGGTTTTTTCAGTTGTGGTGGTTGTAGTTGAAGGGAATCTTGTTTTTGCTCTTGTTCTGCCTCTAACCCTCACCGGCGAACGAGTAGCTTCTTCCGAATTTCTGCCCCTATCTCCGGAATGAATTTGCACGTATTGGCTGTCTTTCGTCGGTTTGGTTATAATGTCAGAATCAATAGGGTGCGTTATTTTTATATCCACCACTGGCTGGGGAGTGTTGTCATAATTTAGCTTTCCTTGTACAGGTAAATTGTAAACTTGATGGTAATCTTTGATGGCACTTTCAGGTTTGACTGTGATTATTTTTTGTTCATCGCTTGTGCGCTCGAATTGCGTGTAGCTATCTGGTTCTCCATTTGCTGAAGAAGCTTGGAATCCGCTCTGTAACTCTGGTTGCTTGAAAATTTTGTTCTGGTTTTCGGTGGTGGTTGTAGTTCTACCTCTGGTTCTAAACCTGGATTTGATTATTTCCGTATTGGTTAGGCTTCTTCTTGTATAATCGTTCACTTTATCTGTTGTAGTTACAGCTTTCTCAGTTGTTATTCTATGGCTGGGTCGTCTACCTCTGCTTACTGTCCGTCTGGGTGTTGACGTGGTGGTGGAGTATTTTCCGCTGTTACCCCGTACTCGCCCCCTGTTTCTCCTAAAACGGGTCGTGGTTTCAATTTGGGGCTCCTCTGTTGTTCTAGGTATTTCCACAGGCGTAGTTACAGGTTCATATTTGGCAGTCGAGCTCATTTCTTTTAATTGTTCGGTTGTCGGTACCAATAAATTGGGCACCAACAGGGCCCTAACCGACTGATCCTGCAAATTTGAAATGTACCCGGACAAAATTTGAGCGTCATTATCAGCGTTTTGGTTTTCTTCCCTGCTTAGCGGTTCAACGCTGGGAATGTCAGTGGGTTGTTCTGCCTTGTTGTTTGCTGCTTCCTCTGAAGATAGGTACGAGTTTAATATGTGTTGATCCAACGTTTCTCTGTTCAAGAGGTGTTGGTTGACGGATGGGCGGTTTTCGGTGTAAACTGGATGCTCTTGCGGGGCGAGTTTGTAAACCTTGGATGGAATATTTTCGATCTCCGAACTTGCAGTACTTTGCCTGTAATTTATAGTAGGTTGATTGGTTGTTGATGTTCTTGGAGTGGTTGATCTCTGCGCTACGTAATCTTCGTTGACAGTGTACCTCGTGTTATCGTAAGTTGGGGTGGTTCTGATTGGTTGTCTCGATGGTTTTCTCCGCTTAGTTTTTGGGGTCGTGACGGTATCGTAATTGTTTTCGTATCTGGGAGTACTAGCAGAGAACGATTCATCATAGTATACTGACGACTGAGGTTGGTTTTGCTTGTCCAATAACTGACTATTGATTTGTTCCAATTCGAAGCGATTAATCGCCAGTTCCAATGGATTAACGTTGTACGATTGTATTGGGTTTGGATTTGTGGATAGTGCTTCATAATTCGCATCATTGTTTGATTGGGCGACCGGCTTGGGTGTTGCTTCAAACGAAGCTTTGACTTTATCGCTTAAATTAAACGACTGCGTCTGGGTTTGAGGAGTACTGGAGTATCGGTTGATTTCTTGCAGTTGTGGTGTTAAGGTGCTAACTGGTATGTGATATTGTCCAAAGTTATCAATAGTTATTTGAGGTGAGGTTGTGGATCTGGATGGGATATCATATTCGGTGGGTCTTGGAGAACTTGGGTAAATGTTTTGTTCCTTAACAGATTCATCTTGGTTTAGAGTGTAAGCTTGTCTGACTGGTTCCAAAAGAGTGGGTGGCAATTGGGGGGATTGTGGTCTTGCAGGTACTGGATAACTTTGTTTAACTTCTTCTGGGGTTCTTGGGTTGGTGTATTGTTCATTATTGTTAACTTTTTGAGGGGAGGGGGCTGGAGTGTTTTGGATGTATTGATGATATTGTGGCTTGTCTAAATATTGATATTGATTAACGTTTTTGACAACCTGTGGTCTAGCAGGTGTATTTTTATCGTGTAATTCATCCTTGGTTGATACAACTACTGAACCTACATGTGGTGATGGTAGAGGAATTTTGGAATACCCGTCAGGGGTTTTGTAACTCAGTGGGGCTACAAAGAACGGCAGTTGCTCTATTTTGCGTTCGATTCTGTTCCCCTCAATGCTATTCAGATAAGGTAGCGGAAATTTACTGTATCCATCTGGAGGATTTAAAGTTGATGGACCGATGAACACTTTCGGTGAGTCAGGTCTAAAGTTGTCTTGCACCGCGATCGTTTTAGCGTCCTTCAAAAGATCGAGTACATCTGCGATTTCCGCTTCAGGTCTATTGCTTCCCATATAAACGGCTAGCGGTGGCTGGTGGGCTTTCCTTTTCTTCGGTTTTGGAGTTGTGCTCTGGAAATATAGAGGGCGTCCATTCCTGATCTCCTCCTGAAGCCGTTGGGCTTCCAGCGCTTGCCTGATGAAGTCTTTTTCTATGGCTGCTAACCTTGAAGTTTGCTGAGGGTAGTGTTGTTGTTGTTGGGGAGATGGAGCGGTACGATATACGTTTTGAGTGTCCTGGGAAACGAGTTGGTTGTTTTTTAGGTTTTCCAGAGGAACGTAAAGCAATTGGACGGTTTCCTTTTCAATATCGACACCTTTAGGTGTCGTGGTGCTCGATACTGGCACCTGCTGTTGGAACGACTCCAAAGGTTTAGCATTCTGAATGGAGGCAAGAAATTCTTGGTTGATGCCCACAGGGTTAATGGTTTGATAGAGTGATTGATTGAAAGGCAGGTATTGCTGATACTCTTGATAGTTTTGATTTGGATTTAGATAATTTGGATTGTATTGTTGCTTGTACAGGAATTGAGGGGCTTGATACGGAGGAGGCTGCTGAAGGACTTGAGGCTGATTTACTGGTGGTGGGGGTTGTTCCACAGCGAAAGGCATGTTGTTTACATTTGGCTTTGCTTTGTAACTCTGTTCGAACTTATAAGGGCGCTCATATCTTGGCTTGTGTTGCCTAATGGGCTGTCTGTTCTTTGGAAATGGAAGATCCCTTAGGAACTTCTCTTTCTTTCTATATTCATCATCAGGGAAAAACTTTTGTTGTGGGGGGGCGTCCAAATTCAAGACTCGTCCAGTGGCTTTCTTCTGCTCAACCACAATATCTTTTTCTTTGCTGGATGGGGTGATTGGTATCCAATCGTTTGTATCGTATGACCGAGCATTTTGGGCTTCTATTGCTATAAGTAGGTATAGCAAGTGAATCACCAGGATACATCTGGCATTCCTAAGGATCTGAAAACAAAAACAAATCTTATTTATCTTTACATTTATGAGTGTACATTTAATGATATAAAAGTCACTCGGAAATTAACAATAACATATAAACTTACATAACCAGCAGATCAGATAGAGATCATGGGAAAACCATTATAAACAACTTAATAAAATAATTACTTTCCTCCGTAAGGGAATAATTAGCACCGTGAAACCTTGACCGTACTCGTAACATCTCTCGTTAATCAAGGATGTATTGTTTGCTATTTAGGTGAAAGAAATGTTTTTAAATGGCTTAACTTTATCATGTCTACAAATATTATGCTGTTGCATTTATTTTAAGTGTTTTGTTGCAATCTAAAAATAGAGCGAGATGTCAAAGATAAAACATGAGCTCATAAATATGATATAATTTGCTTTCCAACACATTAACGTTTTTGCTGGTATTTAAGAGAAAGTCTGCAGTGCACTGCAGCTGGGATATTAGTCATTTGATAAGGATATCTTGGTGTCTTTTTGTTGTATAAGAAATACAAATTATAATAAAGAAATTTGTGTAAATAATACAACATGGAACTATAATTTACAAGAACTAATTTGCTTAAATTATTTATGTAGTTAAATGTAATTGTATTCCTTCACTTTTTATACTAGATATGCAAGCATTATTATTTATGCAGATTAAATTAACCCAGATAATTTAATTTGTTTAGTTTTGTATAAATACTACTAATTAAATAACATATTGTAAAATGGCTGATAAGAATTATCTCCTTATTTTTTAACTACAATTTTATTAAATGAAATTTTGTTAACGTTTTTTTTTGGCGCGTCGAGTAATTTAAAATTTATAAAATTTTCAAATTTTCTAAATATTTAAAATCATCAAAATTGGCACATATTTAAAATTTCCAAAATCCTAAAAATTTTCCAATTATAAAATATTTTTAATTTTTTGAAAAATTTAAAAGAAATGAAATTTTTTAAAACTTTGAAATTATCGGACTTTTTTAAATTTTTAAATTTAACAAAAATTTTAAAATCTCAAAAATTTTAAAATTAGCAAAATTTTCGAGATTGAAATTTGTAATAGGTATTTGGAGAATTTTTAAATTTTTAAAATTGGCAAAAATTTCCAAAATCGTACAAATTTTAAACTTATTAAGCAAAATGACAAAAAAATTATATTTTCTAAATTGACAAAATTTACAAAAATATTAAAATTATTCATTGTAAATTTCAAAAATTTTCTAATTATTAAAATTATTTAAATTTCTTTCATTGTCAATATTTTCAAAATTTCAAAATCTCAAACATTTTAAAATTTTCAAAATTGTCAATATTAACAAAAGTTTTAAATATCCAAAATTTTCAGAAATTTTAAAATTGGCAATATTTGCAGAATTAAAAAAATTAAAAATCACATTTAAAATTTACAAAATCTGAAATATTTTAAAATTAGCAATATTTACAAAATTTTGAAAATATTCATAAATATAAAAATTATCAAAATTTTTGTGATTGAAATTGGTAATAGGTATTTGCAGAATTTTTAAATTTACAAAATTGGCAAGAATTTCCAAAATCATAAAATTTTTAAAATTTTCAAAATAAGCAAAATGATAAAAAATTTAAATTTTCCAAATTAGCAAAAATTACAAAAATATTAAAATTATTTATTGTAAATTTTAAAAATTTTCTAATTATTAAAATTATTTAAATTTCTTTCATTGTCAATATTTGCAGAATTTAAGTTTTTTTAAAATTTCATCATTCAAAATTTCCAAAATCATAAATTTTTTAAAATTGTCAAAATTAACAAAAGTTTTAAAATATCCAAAATTTTGAGAAATTTTTAAATTGGCAAAAATTTCAAAATTTACAAAATTTTGAGATTTAAAAAACTTTAAAATTTCTAAATATTTTAACATTTTTAAAATCTCAAACTTTTTAAAATTTTTGAAATTAGCAAAATTAACAAAACTTGTCAATATTTGCAGAATTTTTAAATTTTTAAAATTGGCAAAAATTTCCAAAATTTTAAAATAGGTAATTAAAACTTTTAAAATTAGCAATATTTACAAAAATTGATTATATTGGCGTAATAAAAGAACATGAATTTATAATTTTATTTGTTATCTGAAGTAAATTGTATGCACAATATTTATGAGGAAAATATATTTATCAGATAAATGGTTATTAAAGGAACTTTCTCTGTATAAAATATACAGATACAGATGAGTGATTACAATAAATACAAATACACATATTTAATTATTTTATAGATAAACGGTTCATGTTTATATTTTGTTTTAATTAAATTTATTTGTAACATTCACTTTCAAAACCTTTTAAAATTTAAAAATGAAGTAAGTATACATATGAAAATAATTCGGTCTAAGTGCCAAAATCAAAAATTTTCACTTATACATTTATAAAAAGTCTATGTGCCATGTATTTAGACCTTTTTAAATTTTTTAAATCTAATAACATAGTATTAATAGAAGGTTAATCGTTTAATACTGATCGAGATAAACCTAGTAAGAGAATCCGGGTGAGGAAGAAAGTGCTGACGATTTTGTTTGAGGCCACTGTGTCAAATACAAACACTTTAAATATCAGAATCTTAAAGTAAAAATTAAGCAAAAATTAAAAATGTAAATAATGTAAAATTAAATAAAATATTTATATAGAGCGACATCTATAAAACAATAGAGTAACCTATGGCATTTTATGACATTTGACAACTGCCAAAAAACTTAAAGCTTATAAGCAAGTATACTTCAGCCTGTGACTAAAGAGAAATAAAGCCATAGCTTGTCAGTAATATGTATTTAAAAGGAAAAATGTACCGTTTTAAAGGTAGGAGTAGAAAAAATAACTAATTATCACAACTTTCATTATTGGAAATGTAAAGCAACTGGTACACAATAATTACTACGGAAATTCAATATTTAATCTGTTTTTAAGAAGGCGAGAAAATTTGTTACATAACATTTAACAAAAGATCCATTATAATTGCTATAAATGGTTTATATTAACAACTGCCTGAAAATGAAAGTAATTTAGTTCATTGTTTTATAACTTTATCTATTCAGGTAATAATCACGTTTTTTATTCATAGATAAATAAATTTTATTAAATTATATAAATTGTTATTATTTATATGTATATTATTATTTTAAAGACCTGTTTTCATGACACAAAACACAAACGCTGCTTTCAGTAATGGCATTTAGATTAATTATAAAGTAAATTTACGTTATGTTTATAAAAATAACACTCTTTCAGATGCAGAAACGCATTGATAAATATAGTTATTATTATTTCTCCAAAAAAAACAGTTCTATACTGTTTACAAAAACGTTTTGTAGTATTGATGAAACCCTAATGGTATTATTCATAGAAATTTTGTAAATTTTACAAATCCCTTTTCGTTTAAAATAAAACTTTTTTATAATATTAATAAAATTTATGTAAATTTAACAATTAATTAATTGGTAATTCAATAAACTATTTTCTTTGTAACAATGGTCACATTTTCAACCTACTGTTGGGTGTTGGGTAGTTTTTTTTAATAATTGCAAGGCATTAAAACAAACTATTTATTACAACAACAAAATATACTCATATTATATGATGTACAAAATAAAAAAATACGAACTCACTTTTTAAACAATAAGTCTGCTTCGTTTATAGAATATACCTTAAATATTTCTTTTAGAAAACGTCGAAATTTTAATTTTCTTAGTGATATTTTTATCATGCTAGATTTTACCACACTTCACTCGCACAAGTGAAATCAATAAGATTATAACACAGACTGTGGATTATAAGTTATGTTCACCAAGGAGAGCGCTGGCCCTTTCCCCCTCTTTTTAAGGGATATAACAAAAAAATTGTTACCATTGCAAAACAATAGTATATATTAAAATTATAGCAATAAAATATTTTTGTTATTGCTCTTAACGTAAGCTATTAACAAAGATGTTCTAACTGAAATAAAATTAATTTGAATTACAACGATAGTAATTTAAAAAAGACAAATATGCCATAGTAAAATGAACAAATTTTACTGCGCATTACTTTTGTAAGGGCAATTCACACATAACTATAGATTTAACAAAAACATTTTAAGTTCGACAAAGATTTAATATAAACATAAAGTATTTCTTATTGCCATGACAATATGATAACAACTATTACTTTGTTGGATGAACATTTTTTTTATAAAAGCTCAACATTGCTGCTTCATTATAGTAAATGAGAATTTTATTAACAGTTTATTCTGTAAATAAAAATAATCTCATTTCATGAATAATTTGACCTTTTCTTACAATATCCTGAAATAATGATCTACATTCTCTAATTTTCGACCTTCACTTGAAATATATGTTATTTCTATACACCCAGGATGTGGTATGACTCATGTTACATTAGATTTTTTTGTTTATTTTAATTGATACAGGGCGTTTTTAAGTTCTGAGTGGTTAATTCAATTAAAAAATCTCTAATTGGTCTAATGTTGCTTAGCGACAAACAAACAAACTATGATTTTCTAAAATTGCTGCAAACAGAGCGTGGAAAGTACCAACCTAACAGAAAAGTAGACATATATACATATACACGTATATTTGTTGCTGAAGTAAGAGAAAATGTGGAGAAAATGAAGTATGTGACAAATATGGCCTTTAAACGGAACTTGTTCATGTTAATTAACCTTTTCAAGAATCAACAAGTGTATTAAAACATTACATTACGATTATGGTGTATAGAATTTTCCATAATCTAAATAGTTTGAATTTATAAATTTCATCTAAGATAATAAACGTCATGGTAAACACATAATTTCTATTCATTAAAAAAATTATTTTTTTATAAACATTTAGAATAAAATTTACATGTCCGATATTTTTTATTATTAAATTTTAAATCGAAGTTTAAATTTTCTGTATTTTCAAAAAGTTGCCGAATAAAACTACTAAATTTTAAACAATTATCAAAGCTAAATTTTGCTTACACCTACCATTTTAATAGTAATCCAAAAAAGGCATCAATAAAAAACACAAGATCAATAATGGAAATCTCACTAGCACATCACAGTTTAAAGTCTAATAAGCACTGACACATAATCCGCCTGTTGCCTGCAAAGAAAGTCTTAAGATGTAGAGGCGACTACTTCTTATACCGGCTTATTATAGACAGTGGGGAACCTATCGGATACAATTAAAACATACAATATTTACTAAAAACTAAATTAATATTAGTTTTTTAAAATTACTTGTAAATAGGTAATTATCGTACTCTTTTCTTTTTAAATTTATTTATTTTTTATTTCCACCTTTTTTTCGGTTGAAAACTCCCGTTTGTAGTAAACTGCTTGACTGAACGGTGAAATGAAGTACGTGATTGAATTTTTTCCGGAAAACGCTGAGCGTATATATTAGCATCATCAAGATTCCTGCCTGCTTCTCCATAAATCAAAATCATTTCTACTTTTTCTTCCGCTTTTAAAAAATCCAGTATGAATAACTGCTTAACGAAAGGAGGTCTTTTTGTTTGCAAATTAATCTTCGAACTAAATTGATTAAATAATGCTGAACTATGTATGAATAATTTTTTATACCTCAATAATACCTCAATATACCTCAATTAGGATTAAATTAATTAATTGACAAAATAATGTTTTTTTTAGCTTAAATGAGGTATTTTTATTAAAAATAGTACAATAATTCTTTAAATTAAAAGATTTAATGCTGGACCATGGTGCGCAATTGATAATTATCACCGAATGAAATAATGTATAAAACTTAAAGCAAAGAAAACTTAAATATTAGTTAAAAAATCGTGGGTAATTAAAAAAATCAGATTTAATTTAATAAGATAATTATTACCAAAAAAGTGATAATTTAATAGAAAAATTATTGCAGAATCGTATAAGAAGAAAAATCGAACAAAATTATTTTTTTTGTCATTTTTATTATATTTATTAACAGAAATAGAAAATTTATGTTACAAATATTTTAGACATTCTAGAAACAGCATAGTTGCAAAATATAAACCAAGTAGGGTAAAACTTGGCTCAAAAATTATTTAGTTTACCTTCACTTCAAACTGCTTGCTGCATTACGTCTAGTTTAACTGTACCTACTATATAATTATTAAACTCGCTTAGATTGTTTAACAGTTTAATAACATTTACCTTTAAATAAAAATAAATAAGAGCCTTTATAGTATATTATGTATCAAGTTTTACTTATTATTATCTTAAAATGATTTAAATCAAAAATTTGTATAGAGCGCCATCTATAAAACAACAGGGGAAACTGTCAAATGTCACATTTTTACATTTTATAAAAACAATTATAAAGGTTATAAATCGAAATGTATTTCTTGAAAATTGACAGTTTTTCACAGTGAAAGTAAAGAAAATGTTTTATGAGGACTTTACAGTAGAGTCCGTGCCAGAATTTAAGTTATAGTTTACTGCCGGCGAAATTAAAAGGTCAGTACAATGTTCGTATAAACTTTTCAAATATTGGCGTTGAGAAACTATTTAATACTTTTGTATTTTTGTATTGAGATAATATAATGATTTTCACATTTAGTACTATTTTACAAGAAAGGCAATTTATTTTAAAGATTGTAAGTATTTTTTTTACGTTATATGAAAGTTACATTTTACTGATTAAAATATTAATGTTTTACTTAAGCATAATTACAAAAGTAATGCAAAAACATAAAATAAGTTACGTAACTGTGAAATGGATTCACAGTAATTATATTATATTATTTAAGATGTTATAATTAAAATTAATTACAGAATCGGAAAAAACAAGTTAAGTTTAACAAATAATAAAACAATAAATACCTACTTTAACTTAAGCTGCAAGGGTGAGGTTATTATTTAATTAAAATGCAGGAATTATGTAACAGCAATGAGACACTGTTACATTTTTTTTTCTAATATAACTGCATCAAAAAGTGACGCAAGAGAAAACGTGTCTAATTTAAATTGTATTTTTATTGCATGTGTTTGCATTTTGCATAAACAATTCCATCCTTGAGCCAATAATTATCATAGACTTGCATTATATGGGAAACATACACAAACTATTTGACAATATGTTTGTATACCATAACGCAAATATTTATTTAAAAAATGCCTTTTTATAAAATTATAAAAATTCTATTTTTATTCTGTATACGATTCTGCAATAATTTTTCTATAAAAATATCACTTTTTTTTGGTAATAATTATCTTAATTCTGATTTTTTTAAGTACCCACGATTTTTTAACTAATATTTAAGTTTCCTTTGGTTTAAGTTTTAATCCTAATTGAGGTATAAAAATGGTATTTAGTTATAAATAACAATTATTATTGAGGTATAAAGAATTATTTAATCAATATAGTTCGAAGATTAATTTGCAAACAAAAATAAAATAATGAAATTAATGTGTTAGTAGCAACGGCCGCTAATCCTCATGCAAGCACACAATAATTACCTAGAGATTTGGGGATATCCCAGAGCAGTGTTAGCAGAATATTAAAACGAAATACTGTATTAGAAATATTAAATAAAAACCATATTCAGGGGCTCTTCTTTTGGGGGCTGTAGCTCCCTTAGGAAGTATTATGGAACAGCCTGTATATTTTGTTTTTAAATGCACATCAAACGTTTTCTCAATCATTGTTAATTGGACTAATTTTTTTGGACATGCAATATTTTACTCAACATACGTTATTTGCCTAATTGTTAAACAATAATTATAATAGTATGTAAATGTTGTTTTGTGTGATACACTAAACCTTTGTACAAAGGTTTAGTGGTTGACCTTCATAGTCATATACGGGCTTATATGCCCACTTTTCAGCTACGTTAAACAGTGAAAGTAAAAACGTTTCACTCGCACTTTAAAATTACAACCATAAAGCTTTTTTAATGTTTGTAATATACTGAAATGATCTGTTTTTAACAAATCATGCATTTAAAAAAATTGTGGCAATATTACTTAATTTAATTTACTATACTTTTTCTAAGACAAATCCTTATTATTATCTTAAAATGATTTAAATCAAAAATATGTGTAGAGCTCCATCTATGAAACAATAGGGGAATCTGTGTGTCAGCGTCAAATGACAAATTTTTATATTTTATAAACACAATTCTAAAGGTTATAAATCGAAATGTATTTCTTGAAAATTGACAGTTTTTCACAGTGAAAGTAAAGAAAATGTTTTATGAGCACTTTACAGTGGAGTCCGTGCCCGAATTTAAGATATAGTTTACTGCCGGCGAAATTAAAAGGTCAGTACAATGTTCATATAAACTTTTCAAATATTGGCGTTCAGAAACTATTTAATACTTTTGTATTTTTGTATTGAGATAATAAAATAATTTTCACATTTAGTATTGTTTTACAAGAAAGGCACTTTATTTTAACGATGCTATGACATTTGACAACTGTCAACTAACTTAAAACTAACTTCAGCCCGTGATTAAAAACCTGTTGCTAACTTCAGCCCGTGACTAAAGCGCCATAAAGCCACAACTTGTCAATGTGTATTTAAAAGGTCACTTAGTGTCATGGAAACATGTACGATAAAGAGCGTTTTAAAGGTGGGAGCAGAAAAAATACATTAAAGTTGACTTACTAGTAAATTTGTAGTACACTTGCATAGGTAGGAAGCTAAAAACAAAGGATCATTCGTTCCAATTTGTTTATTTAATGTTAGTGAGTAAAAAGTATCAGATTGTGTTTTGCATGGCTTTTATACGGTTTCAGGTTAAATAACCAACATCTGAAACAAAGCACTTCCTGTAGTAAATGAAACTGCGGTGTACCAGTCTAATTTCAAAACGTCTTAAAATTAAAAGTAGATATCCTTGGTTGGCCAACTATTGCATAACTGGTTTGTGGACTGCAGGATTATTAAATTCCTAGATAACTTTATTAATATTTGTTTAATAATATTGCAAATGCCACATCTATACCATCAGTAGGTTGAGAAAAATTAAAAACTGTTTTTTTTAATATAAGATCAAAAATAATTTTCCTTAAATATTCTGCATGCATGCTTGAAACAAATCATTTCTTAATCAGGATTTGAATCAAGAAACTTAGCCGGTAGTGTCTATCAATGAACAATATTTTCTCCCATATGTTATTCCGCTCGACTTAAATAGATCTAATTATGGGATGACTGACCATATTTGCCGATGTATAATTATTCCGGAATGGATAACGAATTTCGAAAGAAAGCGGCAAAATTAATTCATATACATTTCCTGATAAAAAAGATATCTACAGTTTCTGAAATATCTGTGTTTTCTAAATTTGAATGGAAGGGAAGTGACGAGTATACCAGGGTACTAATTAAATACATAATTTATTGCAACTTTCAGCATATTATACATTAAATATCTTAAAATCAAATAATACCACACATCAGTGGCGGCTGGTGGATTTTGGGTATACCGATATCTCAATTATTAGATATGGGACACACACCAAATTTAAATTGAACCAACTTTTTTGAATCACCCATATAAATGAATAAAAATAGTTTCTTAGTCTAAAATGATTGCCCAGAATTTACAATTACATTTTTTGTTCTATTTAAACTCATCACAGTAAATAATAAGTTTTATCATTTTGGTCTATATAGGGGGTCTAAACAATTTGTTCATTTTTTTAAGCTATTATGTATATTTCTTCATCTTAATATCATAAATGTTTCAACTATGCATCCTGCTATAAAATTTAATTGAAAGTACCTACAAGCCCATACAAAAAAGATCATCCCACCCAACTGGTAGATACGTAGGTATATGTTAATATATCCAATTATTATGTCCAGGAACGAATTCACCATATTAGAAACGTTGTTAAAGGCTCACTGAAAAAACTTGTTAATAGTTGTGTTGTTTTAGAATTTGTGGTGAATTTAAGACCAACCAATCTGATAGAGGTACTTTGGTAGCTGTTGATACATTTTACAACACTTGTTATAATTTAATCCTAATTAAGGTATAAAAAAAAATTATTGGATAGATGCGGGCTTCCGTCTTGTACTTTCTTTGCAAATTGTGAAAACATTCTACGTTAAGTTTTCTATTAATAAATAAAAAACA